CTGTTTAAAAGAACAAAGAATAAATAGACATAGGTTTTCCTGTTATGAGTTACCATGCTTCCATCAGGATTCAATGGAAGTAGGAGTTTAATTTTGGATGTTAAAAGGCTTTGAATAAATCTGTTTCTTATGAGTTGATTAAGCCACTGATAATGTGTTGATTGTGTCATTATAAGTAACACAGCACACCTGTAAAGGGGATCAGTGGTGCTTAGGATAGATACATACGTCAAATACATCTGAAGGGACATCAAAACATTGTCATAGTAGACATCAATATCTCTTCAAAAAGGATTTAATTTTGCCTGAGATTGTACTGTATTATTTCATGCAGAAATACCCAAATGTACATTCAACTCTCAAAACAAAAGCCTTCTACTGTTCTGTTTCTGACAAAGCCCAGCTAATTCATTCGTTTCATCTTTCTTTCTTTTCCGCTCTCCTGTTAAATTTATGTTAAGAATTTGTTGGTTCATTGAGCCTGATTCACTGTTGCCCTGCACTTTGTATCATCAGTAACACGAGGACAAATGGGTGTTTAATCTTCTGATTTGGTAACATCCGCTTTGCATAGGTAACAAAGAATCAGGGCCACCATCTGCAATTGACTACTTCAGGGGCTATAATCAAGACTAGAATTTCAACATTCATGGTTACAGCACTTACTTGAACTAAATTCCTGTTAAAATTAAAGACCTTTCATCCATTTGAGAGAACAAACTTTGAGTAAGGGAAGGAATGATGCTACAGAAGGAAGTGTTTCCTGTGCACTCAGTTTGAAATAGAGGAGCTGCTAGTAGAATATGTACTTAAGAAAGGATATGACTTCTATAATTTGTATGGGAGAAGCAACAAGGAGAAGCTAATGCAGTTTTTCATTCATCTATATGATAATGGGCAATTAATGTCAGTTGCGCTATGTTTTAAACCAGGTTTTTATATTATTTATTTAAAGAAGGAAAGAAAGAAAAGAAAGTGAAGTAGAGCAGCATGCAAAATATTATTTCAGTCTAAATACCTAGTTAAATAAATCATTTCTTATTTCAGTAGCCAACAAAGTTATTAAATTCAAGATGAGGCTTGCATATGCTTCAGAATTTATAATTGTGAAAAAATGCATGTGCACAGACTGTGTGCTTGAATTTGCATTAATGGATAATCAGAGCACCAGAATTAGGTTCAAAAGATTTTTGTCATCATGATGTTTCTGTCATTTAAATTGGCATGCAGCTTTTTCACCATGTTCTGAATTCCTAGTGTTGAGAATTAAAAAAACAAAAACAGGAGGCATCTGAGAAATTAAGTATCCTTATGTTTGTTGTTTCTCCCAACTATTCTATAGTGGTATCAGCGTAAGTGTTGTGTAATGATCTGGTATGTGTAGGGAGGAGGTTATGGAGAAATTTTGGATTAGAAGGTACTTAGCTATCTGTTTTTGTGTCTTCTAATGCCTCTTCCTCTTCCACGTGAGTGGATCCCAATGCAGGATCAGGGCTGACGTAAGGAAAAGTAAAAGAGCATCTCTGGTGTTGGGAGAGACAGTAGGAGAGCATAAGGTTTGCATTCTCAGCTGAAAGGAACAACAGAAGTGGGGGAGGAGGAAGATGCTTGTTATGACATAAACACAGGCTGCTGTTTTTCTCATCCTTTCTCAAAACATATTTGTAAACTAATTCCACTTCCATTCTCTGTGTTGCCGCGTTCTACAAGCAGTTGGCTAACAGGGGCTGATATATGCACTTATTTAAAGCCAAAGCTTTGTCTCACTCTAGTATTTGGTTTTACACTAATAATATTAGGTTTGCAGCTGGTAAATGTCAAATATATTCCCTTTGGATTCAGTTTAGGGTGCTTTAGGGGCAGTTTCATCTTCTAGTTTTTAGCTAGTTACTAATCAGCATACTTAACTTTTTAATACAAGAAGTGTCCTGTCTCTTTTTGTTTTCCCTTTCTGAGCATAATATGGCACTTGAAGAGGGGAGAATGTAGTCTTAATATACTCTGGTAGGCATGTTGGAAATTATGTAACTTCTTTGGTAAAAATAAAATAAGTTTTGAAAATCTAGTAAGCCTCTGTTCCACTTAGCTTGGACTCACATTAACTTGGTTACTGGATCCCTCAGAACATTACAGGAGAGGGAATAAATGTCCTGTCTGTTTCCTTCCTCTCTAATATCCATTCTGTCTCCTTTCAGTATTGCTGTTACTATATTTATGGAGTTGCTTGATAAAATATCTGGTATATGTTTTCCCTGAAGCAGGTTCACTGCTGTGCCAGCAATATCAGCTAAAGACCAATTTACATCACTTTAAATATGCACCATCTTCTTCCTTTTTCAGACATTTAAATGTGAATGCTTTTTGGTGATAGAAAACGATTATGGAATGAAAGTATAGACACTGTAGGGAAAAGTGATTACAAAAAATACCAAGAGGAAAAAAATGACTTAGCTGTGCACTTCAGCTGCAAATCTGCTTTGCAGTTAGTGTTTCCTTCAAGGCTTTCTGTTTCCAGCTGTCCATATTAGTGACATGGGAGTAAACTGAAGAGCTTGAAGAAGACCATAAGGTCCATGACTTGTAGAGGCAGAAGGAAGTTCAGCCAGTTCTTAATTTGTGCCAGGCCTGAGCCTGGACTCCTCTAGGCTTGGCAGTTAATGGCCCTGGCACCTCTGGGCTCCTGGCTGGCAGCCGCTGCTCTCCAGCCACCCAGCTCTGAAGGCAGCACTGGAATACACTGTACCATGCCACCCTTCTGCAGTGCTGCTGGTGGCTGCGCTGCCTTCTGAGCTGGATACCCAACCAGCAGCCACTGCTCTTTGGCCACCCAGCTTGAGCCCCAGCACCTCTTTCATTACAAATTAAGCACTGAGGTCATGTCTGTTAAAAAGTAACGGTCGAGGAGAAAAGTTAGGTCATGGATTTATTTATTTATTTGTTTATTTTTGTTCAAAGGAATAAAATGGAAGGACACCACTAGAAAGGGATTAGACAATTTCAACATTTATAATATTAGGTGGAGCAGCTCTTTCACTCCCACTAGAGATGAAGTTTAGATCACAGATTTTTTATTAGTCTATCTCTTTATTTATATGATACCCATTACCATAGCCTTGGTTCTTAAGCACAATAGCTCCCATCCCTAAACCATAATTGTCCCTCTCTATTTGGGAGAGGTCTAGTACCAAGGAACCCGGTGAATAACCGTGCAGGAAAGTTTGCAGTGTCTGCATGTGTATCCCACACACCTTCTGGGTGTGGTAGTCTGTCCCATCTGGTGGCACTGAGACCACTTAAGGAGAGAGATAAAGGAGTCTGCTCTACAGCTTAGCTAACAGCCAGTTGGCTTTTAGCTCGTGCAGCAGAGGCTCATGCATTAAGCTCCAGAGTTCCCTGGTTCGATCCCACCCACTGACAACTGGGGTCTGTTGACGTTACACATGCGCAATAATTAAAGCCAGGTAGGGCACATACTCACTCTTCTTTACTAATTAAAAAATGGAATTTTAGAAAAATATAAATAAGGAGATTGTTGGGAAAATTGGGTTTCTGTATACACACAAGATATCCCTGTTTGTAACCTCTAGGTTACAACTAATAATTTAAATAAATGAGTTTTTGTCTGAAATGACAGTAGTTCAAAAAGGGTTTTCCGTGTTACAGGAAGAAACCATTGGGCTGTGCGTTGGCAAGAATTCTACAGCTATATCAGGCTTTTTCCTTTAAAAATCTGTTATTGAAGCAAAATTATTGTAGGGATATGAAAATGTATAGTTTGCTCTGAATATTTCCTTGGAGGACAGCAGATCATTGGTTTTCTCTGAAATTAGGTAGAAGGACCCAGGTGGCAGATTTCAAGCCCGTCAGGTATTTAAAATATGCCCTTCAGCTGAAAAGAAGTATTACAGTTAAACCTGTCATTATCCCTTTATCATTCTGTGGTGCACTTGACAACTGTAGCAGTCAAAGAAAGAAGCCACAAGTAGTGATGAGCAGTCAGCCTGAAGTGGAATGGGTCAATGTTTGGTTGCACGAGTTGCCCTAGGGGAAGTTCACATCCATTGACAGACTTACAGATGTTGGTTTATGGAATCTTTAAATGTATCAGGGTGGGCTCACGTGAAGGTGTTGAATTCCTTCTCATAGTTTCTTCCACAAATCATGCCAGGCATTAGAAAGTCAAAGTAAGTGACACTTGCTAAACCTCCTCCTTTCAATGTCTAAAGAATCTTCAGTAATAATAATAATAATATAAAGGAGTGCATCTGGGCCACTGCCTTACACTACATTTCTCATCTGGCTCTCATTCAGAACTGTCAGGTTAGGCTGAGTGCTGATAATTCATATCCCAGTATCCTTTTATCTGAATGTAGCAATATCTCCTCTGTGTACTTTGGCAGTGGAGTTACACCGCTTTTCAAATACCTTTAAAAAGCAATCCAGGCTTTTCTTCCATCTTGACAAAGTGTTGCCAGTAATGAAGAAAAAAGTAAACGTAGTTGTGCTGCTGTAGTCAATTTAAGTATTTTTAGCCCAATCAGCTTGCAGCACATAAGTGCTTACTGCTGGATTGGTGATTTTGTGCGTGTCTGTGGTGATGTGTACAGTGAGACTGATTTGGTGAACCTAGTGCATTTTCTCTTTCTTTTCCTCTTTTTGCTTAATTTTAAATTAAAAAAAACCCACTGTTCAGAAAACCACAGGAGAAAATACACTTTAACTTAGTGTACATTAGCAAGAAGATAATTCTACATGCTGAAGGAATGAAAGTGTGAATGATCATGGCACTGCATAAGCAGGTGCAACTCTGCTGATGTCAACAGAGTAGCATCCATTTACACCAGAAGTGAATTTGGCCAGGATTATTTTGAAAAGTGAATGATGTGGCGGAAGTGAAATGAAGTGGAAGTAATGACATTATCGTTCTCGAAAGAGAAAATCTATAGCTAAGTATCCTGAGTTAACTCTATCTTTTGTCTTCGTGTTTCGTTTAATTTTAGATTCCAGAGGGGTGACTACCACATTGATGTCTGCATCAATGATTATTTGGATGTGTTCTGCCCTCACTATGAGGATTCGGTGCCAGAAGATAAGACTGAGCGCTACGTTCTTTACATGGTGAACTTCGATGGCTACAGCTCCTGCGATCACACCTCCAAAGGATTCAAGAGGTGGGAATGTAATCGGCCTCATTCCCCGAATGGACCATTGAAGTTCTCAGAAAAATTCCAGCTCTTCACTCCCTTCTCACTAGGATTTGAGTTCAGGCCAGGCCGGGAATATTTCTACATCTGTGAGTATCTAGAGATTTGTCATTGTTGCATAGCAGCTGTAAGAAAACAGGCTAACCTTTTCACCTATGTTTTATGGAGCTGCAAAAGACCAGCCTATATGGGCGGCAGATGCCTCTTAGTAAATGCAGACTTCAGGATCCCCAGATTCATTAGCTGGGAATCTAGAGTAAAAATGAGATTAAAAGCAGTTTCTTTTCCCCACATGAAATAGCATGTCAGCCTGTTCAATGAACCTTTGCTGATGTTTAAAGCTAGAGATACTACTGTAGTTTTTCAAACATTCTAAAAATTCTCAGGGGAAAATAATTAACTTTGTATACATAAGTCCCTAACTGTTCTTATTTGTGTGGCTGAAATACCCCTGCCATCACCATCATCGTCGTCATCATCAGAGGGGAAATGCTGTATACCCTGAAGATGCTATAGCTGCACATGCCAATGGTCCAATATTGTTTGAAGTAATAATGTCTCAGGGTAAATACTTCTTACACCAAGCCAAAGAGAACTTTATTCAGAGCAGCTGTTTCTTTAAGTGTGGGGTATATGGAATGCGGTGGAAGCGGGTTCCAAGTAAATTAGCATGAATGAATGCATCAGTAAAAAGTGATGGTGAATGCTGTGTGCTGCAAGCTGTGTTCCAAGGAGACCTGTACCAATTTAGGCAAGAGAGAGATGAGGAAGTGAGGGCAGAAACCTAGAGGAGAGAGGCAGGATAACTGCTGGGGATAAAGGAATACAAATATCAGGAGGCTAAAACTGGAAAGTTGAGCTAACTGGAATTTCATGATCTCATAGCCGGTCTGGATAGCTGTCACTCCTTCAGTTATCTTGTTTGGGTAATACTCCACCAAAGATCTCATTTCATCCATTTATTATGTACCTGAAGTCTCCTGTTTCCTAACAAGCTTCCAGTATTACAACTGCAATATTTTCCCATGCTTTCAGTGTCAGACAAGGGAATTAAAAGCTTTAAACAGGGCTGAAGTTCTCAATAAATATTGCCTTCATGTCTGTAGATGGCCTTTCTACTGTGAAACAGTCATTCCACCTCATTTCAGCAGAGAAACTGAATACATAGCATTCCTATTTTTCAGCCTCATTTCTTTAGCATTTTCCCTTTTAAACCTACAGGGAAGTGTACTCATAGTGAATTGTTTTCAACTTCCTTTCCTCCCCATCAAATAAAGTTTTATAATAAGAGGGATTTCAGCATCATAAGAATACTACCTTGTTCTCTCTCTCGTGCTGCAGTGCAATAAAAAAAAAAGAACTGTAAAAGTTTTATCATTTCAGTACTGGTTCCATGAGATAGTCATGAGAAAACATGTAAAAGCCTGATGCCATTTCACATCTTGTAAGTGAATAAAAAAGGGAATCATAGCTATGTGGAGAATGTTGTAGAATAAATAATGCACATTGTATTGAAAACATGAAAACTGCCCATTAACGTCCGAAGGAGTTTTCTGTCACTAATATTACAAAATCAGGCCCCATGTAAGCATCAGGTTTGTCTTTTAAGTGAATTTTTTCCTTCTTAAAAATCCTGCTGAGAAAACAAGCAGGGATATATAAGATGAGGAATGAATTCTAATTTGCATCATGTGATTGCTTTGCAATAAAATGCTGTACAACTACCATACCACACACACTGTTCAAACCTCCTTATTTGCTTTCTAGACTAACAAACAATAATAAAAGTGAAAACCAAACAAGAATGTAGAGAAATCTCAACTTGGTCTAACTAGTTAATAGCCTGATTATCAGAAAATACAAAATCCACTGAGCTTTATAAACAAGACATTATTATTCAAATGCACCCACTGTGCTTATGACTGGTTTTCCTTGTTTGTGGTTAAATTCAATATTTCACTAAAAATCATTGTGTCTTCTATAACATTCATTTAACGAAGTCATTTAACTGTCAAGGGTTCCCATCAAAGTAATTGTTCCAAAGAGCTTTAAAATATCAGGAGTTTTATGCTGTTCAACTGAGTTTAGCTGGAATTACTTTTTTTTAATGAAAGATAAGAGCACAAAATTAGCAGCTAAGAGATGTCCATTTACCAGTAGTATATTGGCCTGGTAGTCAGTTAAATTAGATTTTCAGCCATGTTTCAGAGACACAAAAACATTCTCTCTCCTTTGCTATAGTTGGAATATTTCTTCCTCTTCATTCTTTCACTCATTGTGAGCAGTAGCACAGAGTAGCTAATACAGTGATCCCAGAGAAGCATTATATACTGTGGTAACAATTAAACATGAAGATTCTCAAAGGAAGGTTGTCCATCATGATATCTTTTTTTTCTTCAAATATGGGCTGAATGAACAAGATGGTAAAACAGTTCCTTGTTCCTTCCTTGAAGTTATCAGCATGCCCTCCATTGCAGGCCGCAGAAACAAGCATTGCTGCCTTACTGTCTGAATGGTTAATATGCTCATTGCTCAGCAGGGGGATGTTTCATCTACTCATCAGATCCAAAAATTTTGACATTTATAAACATGTTGTCCAAGAACAGAAGGCTAGTAGCTTTCAGGTTGGTGTATTCTGGGAAACAGGATTCAAATTGTCCAGTGACTAGATAGCCTGGAAAGTAAGAGGAAATTGAGCTATTGCCTGGGTTGGTGTAGTGTTAGGCTAGATTTCACACTCCTTGGTATTTATTTGCAAAAGTTTTTAAATAAGAGCCATTATCAATCTTCCTGCCGTATCATTTAAGGACAATTTTTGTCCCTCCTACTTCCACCAGTCTCAGGAAATGTAATAACCATAAACCAATAATTTTCTTTCTACCTGAACTATCCTTTTTATGAAATATCGCTTCCCTTTATTGCTCCATGTCCTCATTGGCATTTGGCACACAACATGTATCAGCGGAATGGAGTCAGATCTCCTTGTTCTTTATTTCCCCCATCTAGAAATCTTAGATTATTACATGTTTTGTATCAGATCATCTCTATTTGCACTTGAGAGATGACTTCAATAATATAAACCTGCATATCAGCAAAATATCAGTTAAGTAGGTTTACTTTTGGAAGGGGAAAAGTTTATTAACTGGAGTTTAGTTCCAAAAACCTAACTGCTTACAGCAGCGTTTATTAGGGTAAATTTTAGTGGAAAAAATAATGGATCAAATTATGGGGCTCAGTCCTTCTTCAGACTACCATCTGTGGAGGGTAGAATGTGTTAGCCTGACTAAAAACCAAGTAAAGATCATGGGATTTAGACCTTTATTATTATTGTTACTACTGAAGCAAAAGCAGACAGAAGAAGATGTAACATACTGAAAGAGTGAGGTGTACCCAAAGAACTTGAATGTTTCATGGAATTTTTATGTTTTGAGTAACTTCTTTAAGGAGGGAAACAGAGAGAGCATGCAGTCTAATAGCAGAAAGGGGGGGAAAAACAACATAAGGAAGAGGGAAGTTTCAAACTGACCTTAACATTTGGATTTTTGTATGGTTCAGAGTATAGATTTGTCTTGAATATGTTTCAGTATTTTTATCAGTGATGTGGAAGTAACTATAAAATCACTGCTGATAAAAATTTACAGATGACACAAAGATTGGCCTAATGGCAAAAAATGAGACGGTCTGGAAACTCATATGGAATGATGTGGATTGCTCAGTAAACGGAGTCCATTCAAATTAAATGCATTTCAGCACAGCCAAATGGAAGATTTTACCTCTAGGAATAAGGAATGTAGGCCACACATACGGAAATGGGGGACTGAGACTCTGAAGCAATAATTCTGAAAAGGATTGAGAGGTCATAGTGTATAAACACCAGCGTGGCTGGTCCCTGTGACCCTGTGGCAAGAATTTCTAATGTGATCCTTGGATTCAGATTTACAGGGGAGCAGTGAGTAGGAGTAAGGTGATCATTTTACATCTTTAAACAGCACTGGCAGGACCTGTACTGGGATACTGCATTGAGTTCTGGTGCCTTCATTTTTTAAAAGATATTGAAAAAATTGGAGAAGGTGCAAAAAAGAATCACAGAAATGATTTGATGGCTGGATAAGGAGCTCAATTTAGTTTAGTTATGAAAAAGTAGCCTGGGAGGTGACTTGATTATAACTTATAAATACCTTCATGGGGAGAAAATACCAGGTATTAAAGGGGTCTTTAACTTAGAGGAGAAAGATATAACCAAGGCCTGGTTGTTATAACCAGACAAATTCAAATCAGAAATAAGGCATATATTTTAACAATGAAGTTAATTAACCATTAGAACAAATTACTAAGGGAAGTGGTGGATTTTCCATCTTTTGAAGCCTTCAGATCAAGACCGGATGACTTTCTGAAAGATATGGTTTAATCAGACACAAGTTACTGGACTCATTACAGGGGTAACTGGTTGATATTCTATGACCTGTTTTATGTAGGAGGTCCTACTAAATGATCTAATGGTCCCTTCTGTCCTTAATAACTATTAATCTAGGAGTCTTTCTGAGCTTGTTACTACTAGTTTGTACTGATGGGTATTCCCACTCAGGTAAAAACAGTCAGTTACCTAGCATGATATTAATAGCTTCTTTCCCACTGGCTTGTACATACCTCTTTGGATTGCCAATCTATTTACTGTCGTAAAGTAAAGGAGATTAATACAACCATATCTCTGTGAAGTTCGATTTGTAGGGCAAAATTTTCAAAAACTCCTAAGCCTCATTGTTAAAAATTACTTAGGCACTTAGAAGTCTAAAGTTTCATTGAAAGGTAGTGGGATTAGGGTGCCCGATTTTTTAGGAAATATTAGCCATTAATATGTTTTCTGTGTAAGTGTTGGGATGCAGGAGATACCAAAAACAGCACTATGTGGTAGTGACATTCAAGGTGGTGGTGTTGTGAAAGATGTAACAGGAAGATAGATTCCCAAATTCAGTCCTAGTGTAAGTGGATAGAACCCCAGTGAAGGCTGTAGAGTATGCAAATGCTGAATTAGACCTTGAGGCTACTATGCCAAGAATCCAGTCCCTAAGTGCCACAAATACAAAACTGT